GTAGAAGAATGTAAGGAGAATTCTTTCAAAATTCCTCCTGATCCGTAAATTATGTGTGCACAATTCGAATTTCAATACAAAACGCACTCTTCGCGCACGGCGGCCAGTGGTGGAAAAGAGGATGGTTTAATGAAATTTTTTAAAGCACAAAATACCGACATAGTGTCATCTATTGTAAATACATGCAAACAAATGTATGCGTGTATGTAAAGTTGTCATATTTTAAAATAGCAGAGCATGGCGTTTGCTGTCCAAACGTTGGAACAATGAGCGACGCTGATGCCCTGGTAGAATGCCCGAGCGCCGTTGAACTCGTCGCTGAATGCCAAGGCGCGTGTTGAAGCTTGGTGCGACCTGGCCTTGGCTGGTGAATTGCAACATTTGTCGCATATATTACGAAACTGCACATAGTGTTCTATAGTGACGTATTTTTATTGCTTCACGTCACGAATGTCAACGTTGCTTGCGAGTTGGGGTTGTTTGGTGAATTTTTCATTCGATTTCTAGGTTTTACGAAAAGTCAAAATTTCGTCACAGACGGTGGCGTGAAATTTCGGAACGAATTATAAAATGGAATGTTTGAAATCGCTGATCAAATTTGTTTTTATGCACTTATAAGTTATTGGAATTTATTTGGGACAAATGCTTTCTGTGGGTGGAGGAATTTGAGACATGTACGAACATATGTTTACATTGTAAATTACACTCTTTTCTACATTTATGAATACAGATATTAATAATAATGAAAGAGGGAAAATATAAAGTGTAAGTTTTATGTATGTCGACGATTTTCGGATGGCTCTTCTATTTGTACAATTTTTCTGTAACTCATTATTGGATTTGTGACCGACTATGTAACTTAACCTAATCAGGCTGATCTTCGGGAAGTCACGAATGATCCCTTTTGGCCAGCAATGGACGCCGGTTCGTCGGGATGCTTATGAATCCAAGGTGTGGATCAAAAAGACCATTGCATATCGAAAAAGCGCTTCAAGCTTGTCACATATTTGTTGACGGCTAATATCACTTACCGTCCACGTCTAAATGTTGAATGTTTAAACACTGAAAGTCTTAAATACTGAGAGGTTTCTCATATTATCTCGAAAGAGGCGGAAGCATTAAAAGCTAGAGTACGGAACTTTAATCCGATAAAGCTAACATGACTACCACTAGACGATCGTATTAAGGTTTACTTCATGGTAGGGACAATACATTTTAAGCATCCTCTATGGTATCAACTAACTAACACCTATTCTGCTGCAAATATCTCATTTTTGTCATAATTTGAACTGATTCTTTGATTACAGAGAACTGAGACATGAGTGCAGTCAAACTTTCCACCACCAAACTGCTGCCTACATTAATTTGTATACTCTTGCAACATATTGCTACAGAGTATAACAGTTTTTTCACCTAACGGTTGTTTGCATCTAAAACAAATGGTATAGATATAGCCTTATAGTTATAATATAATATATATGTAAATGATCAGGATGACGAGACGAGTTGAAATCCGGGTGACTCTCTGTCCGTCCGTCTGTCCAAGCAATCGATAACTTTGGACGTGTGATATTAGTCTGTGGATGAGGTTTGCCGGCATTATTGTGGCATAGTGATACTTTTATTTCTTTTTACACTCTTTTTGGGTTTTGAAAGTGGCAGTAATGGTTGATATAACCGCTCGTATTCATCTCCTTAATATCAATTGCCAACATACTGGCTATACTTTAGTAATATCGATATGGTTTGAGCCACTACTTTTATTTAATTTATGTAGGTACATATGATTTGATGTTGAGCGTGAGTTGAGTGAATCCACATATGATTCCAAGATTACTGAGTTGTATACTCTTAAGATTAGAAATCTCCGAGTGGAGCGCAGACCAGAGGCTCACCAAAGAAGCCGGGTCTATTTATCTTTTAAGGCTTAGAGATTTTACCTATAACAGAAGTATTATAGACTAGCTTTTCGAATTACAGATGTGTATATACATACACATATTAAATTGATTAAGGAATTTATGGGGCACCTAAATCAAATCCAACAAAGACCTAATTCAAACGTTTCAAACTGAATTTCGTATGTCTTGATTGTTACTCGATTTTTTCAGGTGCAGATTTTAGGACAGACAGACAGAGATCACGGATTTAATATCTCTAATACTCTTACTGGATAACAAAACTTTCTTACACTTTTTAATTCGCATTATCCAAATATACTCATACACGTACATATTATACCTATATGTAAATACTTGTATATATATGTTAAACTAAACTTTTTACTTGATCTATGTATGTACATATAAGATATACTATGACTTTTAAATAATAAATTTATTGGACAACAATTTGAAAAAATACTGTTTTTGGTACGAAAGATATTTTTAATATGTTCAATATAATCCTAACAATTTCATGCCATTCCTATAATGACTATAATAAAAAACTCTTTCCACGAAGGAAATGGTTCAGGTTATTGAAGAGGTAGTAGTCGCTGGGAGCCAAATCTGGTAAACCAGGTCTTTTCTCACTAATTTGTTCATCCAGCGGATTTAAAAGGCTGCAATAATATTCAGAGTTAATTGTTTTACCTTTCTGTAGATAATCAATCCACAAAATTCCTTTTGCATCCCATAAAACTGATGCCATAACGTTGTTTGCTGATCGTTGTGACTTCACCTGCTTTGGAATGAACAACCAGTTTTAGTCCACTGTAAACGTTCTTGTTTTAATTTAGAAAGAAAGAGCTTTTTCATATGTAATTCTCCATGTAAAATATGAAGTACTGGTTCGTCTGATGCATAAGCAATTTCACGCTTAGTCACACTGGGATATTTACCAATAATATTATGAACTTGCTCAATGATTTCTGGTGTAGTTGCGGTTTTTGGTCGTTCTTCGCGTGGATCAAGCCTAGTACGACCACGTTTAAATTCACCAGCCCAAAATTAAACGGTGAGGACTCCTTATACACTTCTAAAAACTGTTCATAAAGTTCCTTTGCTTTTAAAACTTTTAAACCTTTCAAAACAAAGAATCTAATCACTGCGCGATATTCGATTTTTTTCATATTAAAAATATACTCTGACACGTCAACTTCAAAGGGCTTGTAAACAAAGAATTAATTGACAGAGTGACTTGTGAGGAGAGTTACAAACTAACAGACAGACATACACAGAACTATTATAAGCGTGTTAATGACAGAAAATAGTATCAAAAAAAGGAGAGTAATATCAGAAAATGTTACGAATGCGAGGGGGATGGTAGGGTCAATTGTAAAATTAAAATTTTAGTTGATTCTTCAATTTTACTGATGACATTCAAATTAAATTTCGTTCATTTTTATTTAAACATCATATCCCTGCATTTGTGGTAGGAATTTTATATGAAAACCAAATTTGGTTGACCAGGCGCACAGAAAAAAAAAAGCGTAGCGCAGAGTTATAAACGATCGCATTTCGTTTTGTTGCATATGCCCGTTCCTTATTAATGAATTTGTTGGCGTTGTAATATAAAATATTATAATATAGCGTAAACTAGCTTGAAGCTTATTGAGCGATGATGGTGCATATGTACGTTTTTTGTTTGTCGCTTGCGCCAGTGCTTAATTTTTTACATAAGACATATTGAGGGACATACATACATATTTTTTTTTGTTTTTTTACGAGGAGGAAGCATTGAAAGCCTGAACCCCACGTCAGTGTGGAACTTTAATCCAACTAAACCTCCTACCGTCATGTACCTTTCCCCCCGGTACCACCGTCAAGTATTCCGTCGGGAGGATGGTAGAGGTGAGTGCTCATACGTTTGTATGTTGGTATTAAACTCGCCCCGTGCAATGTTTGTCGCCAAACCCTTCCCTTATGCTTTTTTACTTTTGTTTTAATGCGTTTGTTTGGTCCGCGTTCTAGTGGTCCGTTAAGTTTTGGAGTTCTCTTCTCCGCTGCTGCTCTCGGGCTCTTTGGGTTTTCATGATTTTGGCGGCTATTTCGCACACCGCATCCCACTTAGCTTTTGATTCCACCATTTGGTCTACTAAGTTTTCGGGGGTTGGGTCTATACCGAATGCACTCTTGAGGAATCGTCTCTCTTGCTCGTATTGCAGAAAATGGAACAACGTATGCTCTACATTCTCAATTGTCTCGCCACCGCATTTATCGGATATATCATAATTTTCGTGTTGAAAGCGTTTCAAATATACTTTTAAACAGCCTGTCAGAATTTGAAGTCTGCCTTGCTGTGTGGTCTTTTTAGCCATGGGTCAATGTTGGGAATTAGTCGGAACGTTCAACGTCCTTTTCGACTGACTTCCCATCGTCTTTGCCAACACTCCACAGTCTCCGCTCGAGCATTTCCTTTTACGGTTCTGGGTGGTAAGTCCGTTACAGGCTTTTTGGTCTCTTTGGCTAAGAGATCTAATGGGTGTAAGCCCGCAATTACAAGGGCAGCATCTTTTGACACTGTACGGAGAGCTGAGCATACTCTGAGTGTGCAAATGGCATAAATGGAAAAAAGGCCACGTCGGTAAGATTTTGTTTCGAGTGCTTTTCCCCAAACCTCGGCGCCATATAGAGTGACGGAATTCAGAACTCCAGTCAGGAGTCTTCTACTATTTTGCTTCGGTCCACGGGTATTGAGCATCATTCGGGTTAAGGCTCTACATTTTTTTGAAGCTTTTTCACAGGTGTAGGCTAAATGTTCTTTAAAGGAAAGTCTTGCATCAAGAACAATTCCTAAGTATTTCAGCGCTGGTTGTGTAGTTATACACGCCCCTTTTATTCTGAATGTAGCAGACTCTTGGGTTTTTCTGCCAGTAATAAGCAGGGCTTCCGTTTTGCTCTCTGCTACGGTAAGTCCATTAGTTTCAAGCCAATCATTAATTAAAATTCAAATTGATTATTTGAAACCAGTAAAAATTGATAACCTTTACATCTTCGTCTATTTAATACAATAAAAAAGGTGAGAAAATAGTAATAGGAAACCTTTGTTATACATACCATACAACATTTTCGTTTTGCGAATTACTATCTGTTCCATCGTATTTACTTAGACAATCTTTGGCAATTTTGTAATTTTCACACATTACATGCAAACACAGCTGGTTTTAAAGCAAACAATCTCGTCAACCTATCAACACTTGTAGCCCACTCACAGCCTTTGACGTCGTCTCTACGTTTGCATGTGCCTGGAAAAGACAAACTTTTACGCCATTTTGTTAGCTCTTCTTCAATTCATTCAGACATACCTCTATGTGTTTTTTTTTTTTGCTCAGCCATACGACGACTGCTGATTGATGAAGGTCACACATCCTGCCGTTTGTGCGCCTCTGTTCTGTCCAATCACCTCAGCTTCGTAAGAGGTGTCCAATTGCTGTGGAAAAAAGGAAACGGTTCCCAGTTTTGCTGTCAAATATAAATTGTCAGCTAAGTAATCAGAAGTTGTTGGCATTTTCATATGTCAAGTGCAAACAGCAAACTTTATGAACAGCATATTATTAAATGTAAACTTATTTAAAGTCTTATCGCAAAAGCTGTCTGCTTGACTTTTGACAGCTTTGCCTGTTCGAATGCTCCGTCTGTTAAAGAAAGTGTTTCTTCCATTCATCTATTCTTCATTGACAGCACTTTTGCTAGCATCCTTGTATGATTATCAAGATATCTGACATGTGTCAGATCGAGTGGAATTGCCAACACGGTTCCATAGCGGAAGTGAGATTTTGTCGTAACAAGTGTCATAAGTATCTTGATTACTTGTGCTTATTTCGGGGAATAAAAAAAATGTCCTGAAATCTATTCTCTTCCGTTCAGTAATGAGAAGTGTGCGCAGCCAGCGAAGTAGGTAGAGAATTCTATTGTCCTGTTGGCACGTGTCTCATTATCGAAATTTGAACTAGAAATGTGGAAGTGCGGTTTGATACAACGGGATGTGACTACAACGAATGTATATATTTTCCTGGGCACATAATTATACCAGTTTATTTGATTTTGATGCCATTATCGAGAATAAAAATTAATTTTCGTAGATTGAGCTTGAAAAAAAAATTAGTGAATGTTCCTACACATGTCATTTAAATCTTTGTATATGTCCATCCTTTGAAAAGGAGGCTTTGTCTTCAAAATGTATTCACTTTGAAAAAATTTTAATTGATTCTGTAGAACACGCGAAGATTTGTTTCTTTTATTTCGTCAATTGTGGATTCAGATAAGCTTACCTATATAATTTGTAAATGTATCTTGTTTAATGTATAGCATAATTCGATATTTGGAAATCATTAAATTGGATATATGGGCTTGGGGAAGGTATGAACAGATTTCATGCTTCCTGATTACGTAAAGTTTTAATCAGTTGTCTCAAATATCAATTGGTATACACTCCATAAAATCAACAAGAGTGACGGAAATCGTTATTTTGGGTATATGAGGCAGAATATATGTATGGTATGATGTCACCCATTTTTGGTACGAAAACAAACTATAATAATTGTATTATTCCTACCAAGTTTTATCCATATATCTCACATTCTCACCGATATATCTGGTGTAAAGTTGACCGCGGTGATATAAATCAAGCTTGGTACATGAAACTTGATAGAAGATATGTACCGTTTCTATCCATGTTGAAGTCTTATGGTAAACAACCAACACACAAAATATTTCTGATATTACGTCTGTCCGATCACTTGATCTTAGACTATATATACCGGACCCTAACATATTGCCTGATATCCTTAATTCGTGAAACGTTAGCCCCCGTTTGGATATGAATCAGTTTCGATAATTTTCTAATCAGAGTTGCCATATGAAATCTTACAATAGTTCAGTAATGAATTGTCTTTTACTTAGGTAAATGTGAAAATTTATTATTAAATTTTATTTAAAATTTACAAAGTCAATCGATTGTCCTTTTTTTTAATTTGACGCACTTATTTGTCATGTAAATTTAATGTTTCCAAAATTATTCGTTAGACAATAATCGTAGCTTGAGGAAAGTATTTATAGTAGGGAGCTGACTCCCAGTATTACTATTGGTATCTTTGGTACATCATCTTTCAGTTGATTTTCCAGGTTCAGCAATTAACAGTGGAAACCCTTGAATATAATTGTTGGTTAAAAACATAGTTGAAATCAATCTCCCGCATCGTTGAAAAAAACTTTTAGGGTTCTCTATATGCAGGCTCTATTATCTATGAAAGATTCTTTGATAACAGTTCAAATAAGATGTATTTTAAAACACTTCGGAGTTGCATAATTGTAGATCAATTTGAGCATAGGCCAAAGTATTGAGTAACTTATTTCTTTACAATTCAAAGCTGATTCAGATATCTAGTACAGCAAGTAACCAAAGACCGGACTGTTACTTTATCCATTATATAATATTTGCAAACTAGTATTGCAAAAAAAACATTCATGAAAACTATACCTAAATATCATATATACCTATATTTATGACACTGCATTATGGACACAACGTCAAGTTATTGCCAAAATAATGAGCTCCACATAAAATTTACATTTATATTAAAAATACCACCACTACCACAATGTCTACATATTGTTCAATCACTCATACGCGCCTATAATCCTCAACAGTTTTTCGGGCCACCTAACGAATAAGAAGAAGAAGCTTGTAACGAAGTAAGCCAATCTTATCCTCCCCACAACTAAAGTCGCAGATTATTTGGGTTTAATTACGCCTCATATATCAATGCATCCAACCCTCTAAGCCAGATTCACAGTGTGTTTTAAGGCACGCCATTCAAAAACAGGCGAATTATTGCATATTGTGTCGCACCCAAGGTGGCAAGGGGCAAAAACATTCGCCACACTTCGGAAAAATAACGACAATACGCTTTATCCACCCTTTGCCCCAAATCAGACACTTGCATTTGCAGCTGGAACAATATTCGTTCGATCTGGGGGATGGCCACAAAAACTTCCGTATAATTTCTCTTTGATTGTAATTACTTCGCAGTGTGGCACGAACACCCGAACAGCCGCACTGTGCTGATTTGTCGGGGTGGTTGGCTGCGAGTAGTCGGGCGTAAGTGTTGCCAATCGCTCCGTGAGTTGCATGAGCTGGGTTTAAATGAATTTCTTGCGCTATTGTTGTTGTTGCTATTCGTCATTTATTTTGTTGCAATATTGCAATATTTCCATGAATGTAACGCAACCTTCTTCTTGTGCAGAATTATTAGTTTTTATTTCTTTTATAGTAACAGCATTCGCATCGGCTGAGGGCAGAAGGGCGCGTGGGCGGGGAGGGCATTGCAGAAGTGAAGTGTCTTAAGCCAATATTTTGAAATTTGTGGTGGCACGGCGGTGTCGATGACGTCTGCGGCAATTGTTTTTAATTTTGTAAGTGCCTGCTTGCCGCAATATTTGCCTTCGGTCGATTCATGCGTTTATGATGTTATTACTTTGGGGTCGAAGCGAAATTAAGAAGCAGTACAAGTGCATACAATAACAGCAGAGTCCTTTGGTCCATAAAAGGGTTTGCATTTGATACCATATTTTTGGCGAACTGACAAATAAAGTAATTTGTAATATGACAACGCTGGCGACCGGGTTAGGCGTTGAACTGGAAATTTATTAAAACCAGGGGGTTAGGTAGATTGCTGCGGGAATAAAGAAAATATATTCAAAAATGAGTGGTCATTTCTAAACATGCACTAAAGCATTAAAGAGTGTTATAACGGATAAATGTGTATCGCCATGAGGTGTTTAATCTTAGATTAGAACAAAAGCAAATTTTAAATGTATAACAGTGAATGAGTGAATTATTACAACTCTAATCTCTAACAACTCTAATCCCACATAGCTAAAACACTGATTTTCTTCGTTCTTGTTAGTTTACTCCACAGACCTGTGGTAATAAGCAAGATATGTTAATGAATGTCTATTATTACTTCGATTTTTGAGAACATTTAAGATTTCTTCCATTTCAATTTTGGGGCTATCGGCTATCAATTTATCAATCGAAATCAACATACTTTAACCGTCCGAGTTGAAATGATTACTAATTCGACATATCTTCTATATAACGGGTGTTTTTTTTCGAGGTATAGAACTTTAAGTTGGCATTACTGTTCAGGATGGCGACCGATTTAACAGCTGTCAAGTGATTTATTCTCAGTTTTGTTTGGCAATTCATCTAGAATAGACTCACGCTTGAACAACGCTTGCAAATACAAGGTGCATTCCAAAGTAAACAGGACTTTTAAAAAAAAGACAGAACAAATGGTTTAATACAGCTTTTTGCACGGTCAAAAAACATGTCGAACGAGTGTTTTAGCTCGTTGCCCGGTATGGTCGCCAGTATGCCGGTGTAACCTTTTGAATGGCCTCCACGTCTGCATAACGCTTTCCTTTCATCAGCAAATGTATTTTTTCGAAAAGGTAGAAGTCGCACGGTACCATATCAGGTGAATACGAGGAGTTGTTGATTGTTAAAATGTGATTTTTGGTCAAATAATCGGCCATAAGCGTCGATCGATGAGACGGTGCATTATCGTGCAACAAACGCCAACTTCCATCTTCGCGATATTCGGGCCGAACACGTCGAATACGGCGCCCCAAACGCTTCAAAACTCCAAGGCAGAATATTGCATTAACGTTTTGGCCGGGTGGAATAAATTCTTCGTGGAATTATAAAAACAAATCAGCATTGTCTTCCCTTTTGAATTCTCCAGCCGCGATATTTTGGGTTTCGGCTCGTCCGCGCCTTCGTCACCAGTCACAATCTTGTAAAGGAATTTCGGGTATTTTTTTGCCTCTTAAATGATGTCCTTCGAATATTGAATTCTGAGCAATTTTTGGTCGTCTGTCAATCACAGCACCGATTCGCACAAAAACATACTGACACTTAAAACGCACTTTACTTCCAATACATGAAATGTCATGAAATTTTTACTGGAAGTCGATAAAGGATAGCAGATTCTAACGCACTAGTCGACATATAGATGGCGCCACTAGTGTTTACTTTGTTACTGTTTACTTTGGAACGCACCTTGTAGTGCAATTTTATTTCGAAAATAATGGTTCTGTGCGGAATACATATCGCGCGTCGAGCGCACTTCTGGTTGAATGGCTACGTCAACAAATAAAACTGCCTCATTTGGAGCGAAGCTAATCCTCAAGTGTATGTCGAAACACCGTTACATCCAGAAAAACTGACTGTTTGGTGTGCTTTATGGGCTGGTGGAATCATTGGTCCGTACTTCTTCAAAAACGATGACGGCCAGAACGTTACAGTCAATGGTGATCGGTATAGAGCCATGATTACTAACTTTTTCATTCCTGAATTGAGCAACCATGATGTTCAGGAGCTGTGGTTCCAACAAGACGGCGTAACATGTCACACAGCTCGTGCCACAATTGATTTATTGAAAGACACGTTTGGTGACCGCCTAATTTCACGTTTTGAACCAGTGAATTAGCTTCCAAGACCTTGTGATTTAACACCGCTAGACTACTTTCTGTGGGGTTATGTAATGTCATTGATCTTGGCGATCATATGCCAGAAATCATATTTAAAATGTAATGCCACAAGATTATCTTTCGGATAAATAAAATTCATGTCAATTGAATAATCCATCGTTGTTTTATTGCAATTTAAAGTTCTATACCTCTAAAAAAACACCATTTATATAAAAGAGAGTCGTGTTAGTTACACTATATATAACTCAAGAACGGCTTAACCGATTTGGTTGCAAATTTTATTTCTTTGTGTTAAAAGTCAATACAATTCATAAATACAAAATTATATTTTAAATCATAAGCATGTGTTCAAATGCATGTAAGAATCATTTGAATATTTAACTACTTCAACAAAAATAAGTAAGAAAGGGCTAAGTTCGGG